CCGGCTGTGCCACCCCCAGCGACACCCAGAGCCGGTGTCACCCCCAGGGCCACACCGGGTGACCACGTGACACCCCCAGGACGGATACAACACCCCAAAACAACACCCGGACACCCCCAGGGACACCCAGAGCCGGTGTCACCCTCACAGGGACCCACGGGGTGGCCACGTGACACCACAACAGCCGCCTGACACCCCGGAACAACACCCTGAGAACACCCTGACACCCCAAAACAACACCCAAAACAACACCCTGACACCCTAACAGCCGCCCGACACCCCAAAACAACACCTGGCACCCACCTGGCACCACAGCTGGACACAACAGCCCAACAACAACACCCCAACAACGACACCCTGCACTCACCCAACCCCACAACAGCCGGACACAACACCCCAGTACCACACCCCACACCCCACACCTGACACAACCCCTGCACGGCCCCGTGACCCCACAGCCGCCCCCAGCACCGGGGTACAACACCCTGAAACGGGGTAGCCAGGCTGGGCTGGGGGGGCTGCGGCTGTTCCTGGTGCCCAGGGCTGTACCCAGGGCTGTTCCTGGTACCTCTGGCTGTACCTGGGGCTGTTCCCGGTGCCCAGGGCTGTACCTGGGGCTGTTCCTGGTACCCTCGGTTGTACCCGGGGCTGTTCCCGGTACCCTCGGCTGTACCCAGGGCCTGTGGCTGTAGCTTGAGCTGTGGGTGTTGCTCAAGGCCTTCGGCTGTACTGGGGCTGTTCCTGGGGCTGTTCCAGTGCCCTCGGTTGTACCCGGGGCCTGTTCCCAGTGCCCTCAGCTGTTCCCAGTGCCGTGTGTGGGGCTGTTCCCAGTACAGGAGGTTGGATGTGGAGTGGTTCCGGTTACCGGGGGCTGTTCCCGGTGCCGGGGCCCTCGGTTGTACCGGGGGTTGTTCGTGGGGCTGTTCCCGGTACCCCAGGCCGTGTCACGGGGCTGCTCCTGGTGACAGCGGCTGTTCCCGGTACCGGGGGTTGTTTGTGGGGCTGTTCCCGGTACCGGGGGTTGTTTGTGGGGCTGTTCCCATTCCCGGGGCTGTTCCCAGTCCCCGGAGCCACATCCTGGGGCCATTTCCGGTACCGGGGGCTGTTTATGGGGCTGTTCCCGGTACCGGGGCTGTGTCACGGGGCCATTCCCGCTGCTGGGAGCTGTTCCCGGTACCGGGAGCTGTTCCTGGTGCTGGAGGCCGCGGCACGGGGCTGTTCCCGGTACCGGGGGCTGTTCCCGGTACCGGAGGCTGTTCCCGGTACCAGAGGCCACATCCCGGGGCCATTCCCGGTACCGGGGGCCGTACCCGGGGCTGTTCCCGGTACTGGGAGCCAGATCACAAGGCCGCTCCCGGCACCGGGGGCTGTTCCCAGTATCGGGGCTGTATCCCGGGGCTGATCCCGCTATTTGGGGCCATTCCCGGTACCGAGGGCCAAATCCCGGGGCTGTTTCTCATCCCGGGAGCTGTTCCTGGTACTGGGAGCCACATCACGAGGCCATTCCGGGTACTGGGGCTGCTCCCGGTACCGGGGGCCGTATCCTGGGGCTGATCCCGGTACCGGGGGCCGCTCCCGGGGCTGATCCCGGTACCGAGGGCTGATCCCAAAACCAGGGGCCACATCCTGGGGCTGATCCCGGTACCAGGGGCCGAATCCCGGGGCTGTCCCGGTGCCCGTGCCCCGCACCCATCCCCGCTGCCCGGGGCCGTGCCCGCTGCCCCTGCCTCATTCCCGCTGCCCGTTCCCGTAGCCCAGGGCCCTTCCCTTTCCCCTTTCCCCATTCCCGGTTCCCGGTTCCGGTACCTTTGTGCATGCCGGTGTACTTGTCCTTGATGACGGTGAGCTCGTAGATTTTCCCGAATTGCTCAAAAATCGGTTTCAGGTCCTTCTCCTCCAGGTGCCGCGGGATCTGCCCCACGAAGAGTTTGATGGCGTCGGGCTCCTTCATGGGGCCGCCGGGGGGTCCCCGGGCCCCGGGGCCGCTCCCGCTCCCCGCTATCACCGCCCGGGCTCGGCTCCCGGTGCTCCCGGCGGTGCCCGGTGCCCCGGCGCACACAAAGGACGAGGCGGCCCCGGGGCTCGGCTCGGCTCCGGGGACGGGGCGCGGCGGGGCGGGGGCAGCTCTGCCCGGGGGGCGGCGCTCCCGGCGCTCCCGGTGCGTCCCGGCCGTTTCCCGGGTGCTGCTCCCCAAAATCCCGGTGGATGCTGCGAGCGCCCGCCCCGCCGGTACCGCCCCGGTGGCCTCGGGGAGGGTCCCGGTACCGGGCGGGGGGCGGGGGGAGCTCAATGCCCGGTTCGGTCCATGGCGGCCGCGGCGGCCGCCGGTCCCCGAGAG